GGGGGGGGGGCAGAGACATGGGTTAGGGGGGCAGCCTTTTTTTTTGGGCCGTACTATAATATAATATATATACTATAATAGGGTGTAATTGCACCTCCACTCCAGTAGGAGGCAGTGGCGCTCTCCTCGTTACTTCAGTGCAACATTTTACGACTTAGTTAGCCTCGGTTAGCATCTGCCTTTTGTCTATAGCCTCCGTTATCCAACATAACAACCCCAAACATGAACAAGTTTTTAACGGGGATGAAATGAAAAAGCGGAGAGAGACAAAGATAATGAGACAAAAGAAAGTCACCCAAATGCTAAGTGTTTTATATATGGTGCTCCTGAGTTAATGTTGCTTAACTGAATATAAATAAATACATTAGTTATTATTTTTGTTGTTTTTGTAGTTTATTTATTATATTTATGAAATGTTATTTATTGATTTGATTTAATTTTGCAATGGTGCAATTAGTTGGTCAAACATGTTTACAGTCTTAACAAGGATTTATTTATTTTTAATTTCAGGCATTGATGCACTTTAAATCTTTTCTGTCGCAGACTTAAAACACGATTTAATAAAGCTATTCTTTGTAAGTTTGACCATATGTCTTTCTTTTTCTGTTCTTTAATGTGAATAAGGATAAAATGTTTTTTGCAGAGATGGATAGTCACGGTGGGGAGTGGGGGGGGCACAAATAGTTTTCTTCTAACAGAAAATAATTCAGAAGCACAGGGGGGACCCGGGTCATAGCAGAACTGGACTAGGACTGGACCTCTGAATCCAGTTTACCAGGAGACCCAGGTAACAGGAGAACTGGACCCCCAGGAGAACCGGGTCGGGGGGGGGGGCAGGAGACCTGGGTCAGGGACCCCCAGGAGACCCGGGTCACAGGAGAACTGGACCCCCAGGAGAACTGGACCAGGAGACTGGATCCAGACCCCCATGAGACCCGGGCCAGGGCTGAACTGGACCAGGACCGGACCCAGACCCCCAGGAGACCCAGGTCAGGGGAGAACTGGACCAGGGGAGAACTGGACCCCCAGGAGACCCAGGT